GATGCTCCTCAACTTATGAGGGGGTTATGTTCCAGTAAACATAAGTTTAAAATATCTTAGGTTGTAAATACATTTAATATCCTGATATATCCATTAAAAAGTAAAAAAAATCATAAATGGGACCATTATAAGTCTAGACATGCCTCAACTTACTATGTGATTATCTCCTCATAAACCCATCATAACATTGAAAAATCATAAGTCAAACAATCATAAGTCAGGGACCATTCATATATTTTGAATTTTTTATCATGCAGTTTGTAGATCTACATTTCTTCAGGATATATTACCAATGCTTTATTTTGTTTCTTTGGTGGTGTCTCAATTTCCTGATTATAAGTGACCCTTTTGTTTTTGCCTTAGTATCTGAGTATTTGAAGATTCAGGCACTGCTTCCAGACTATATAGATTGTCTTCAGCAGAGAAAGCCCTTCAACAGTCAGACTTTCTAGAGATTCTGGGTAGGCCAGTTATATGGTCTGCAAGTGGGCTTCCTGTTAAGTCGTTGGGTGGGCTGACGCGGTACCCGAGTCAGTGGAAAAGTGGGCCTGGAGTCTTGGTTCACTGGAGTAGTCCTGGAGCTTAGGTCTTTATGGATGGACCTGGAACCTTGGTCTGTGGATGCCAGCCTGATACTAGGATCCACTAAGGTTGGGCCTGGCAACTGGGTCCACAACATATGACTTGGTGTTGGCTGTGCCCTGAGTCTGAGTCTTTGGGGATTAGGGTGGTGCTGGGGTGGGCCTAGTGCATGGATCCATGTGATAATCTTGGTCCTGAGTCTGTGAGTGCCAGCCTAGCACTGCAGTTTGCTACAGTAGTCTTGGTACCTAAATACAGAGAAATGGGCCTGGTATCTATAATCATGGGTTGGGACCTGAGTCCAGGGTCCATGAATACCAGTCTGGAGCCTAAATCCACAGATGCTTGCCTGGTGCCTGGGACCACAGGAGCCATCTGCCTTAGGGGTGGCCCTGGATCCCGGGAGCTACAGGGGCCAGTCCAGAGCCTGGGGTCACTGTGGCGGGCTTTGCATTGGGGTAGGCTTCGAGCCTGGGTCCATGGTGCCAACCTAGAGCCTGGGGCCATAAGATCTGACTTGGCACCAAGGTGGGCCTGGAGCATGAGTCTGAGAGGAAGGCTTGGGTCCTGGGTCTGTGGGCACTGGCGTGGAGTCTGAGTTCATGGGTGCCAGTCAACATCCTGGGGCCATGCAAACCAGCTTTGCATTAAGGCAGGCTTGGTGTCTAGGTCCACAGGGCCCAGCCTGACATCAGGGTTCATTGGGGTGGGCCTGGTGCTTGAATGCAATGTGAAGTCATTGCTCACTTCATTGTCCTTTCTCCAGGAGGAGGGTGTCTCTCTCCATGTTGTGCTGTGTGGGTTTGGCAGGGGATTGGTGCAGGTAATATAAAATTGTCCTTCCTATCCTCTTCAATGAATCTTTTTTTATTACTTTGCTTCACCTAAGTGCTATAATTCCTCATTTGGGTTCCTTAGATTTTGTGAAGGTACTTTCACAAATTCCTTCAAAAAGTCCTGTATGATTGTTCAAATCAATAATTTTGTGAGGAGTAACTCCAATTCTGACATCTTGCTAATGGTATGACTCTTCTTATTTATTTATTTATTTTTAAATCATGCAGCTTAAAATGTTGAGCATCTGGATATTTCCCAAAATTAACATAGGTCATGTTTGATAAACTTAAGTGTGCTTATCCTGGACAGTAGCTTATATTTAGAATGTTTTCTTAAATTTAAAATATAATCCAAAAATACTTTTGTTTAAATACACTTAAACTTTTCAAAACATTTACAAATATATTATACCAACATTTATTCAAACATAATCTATACCATCATGTGAGTTTTTAAATTTGTTTTGTTTTTTAATAGAAGCACAAGTTCTACAAGCCACATTTTCAGGGCTAGTTTCTAGCTTTGTGACTTATTCATTGTGTGGCCTTGGACAAGTGACTTACCCCCATGCCTGTTTTCTTGTCTATAGAATGGTGGTAATAGTGCCTCCATAATGGAGTTATAGAAATGAGGAGTTGATATTTGTCAAGCTCTTAGAATCATACCTGGCACATAGTAAGTGTTCCTTAAATGTTGGCTCATATTACTGGTTTTACCCCAGAACTATGTTCTGGTTGTCAGAACTATGAAAAGGGGAATTAATTAAATAATTGGAAAAAATAATAATCCAGTAAGAGTGGTGTAGTCACAACTCAGTGCCCATTCTCAGGAGGTTCTAAGTAACACTTGTCTTAGGCTCTTTCTCAAGAAAGTTGTCCCCAAGAAATCCAAACAACCCAAAACAGCCAACAAGCAAAAGCAATAAAACAAAAATCCACCATATCCATACACACACACACACACACACACACACACACACACACACACACGAAAATCCACGTGCACCCTGAATAAGGAGTAGTAATGGTAACCAGAAGAAAATAAAACCTAAACCACCACAGAAATCCTTCCTTTGTAATTCATTTACTTGAATATTTAAAGCAAGTTAGATTTGAGTGACTGCAAAAAAAAAGTCCAATGAAGTAAGTCAGGACATCTAAATAATAGTAAATTATTATAAATCAGTAAAGTCAGTGAAATGTTGAAAAACTTCTGATGTAAAATAAATGGGCATGATATACTAAACACCCACATGCTATGCAAGAGCTATAATGATAGAATAGAAAGAAGTGAATAGAAAAGCAAGTGCTTTATTAGAGGCTATATTTAAGACCATCAATCCTAAGAACAGACATTGCTAACTGGTGTATTTATCTCTAGCTAAATGTGATTCATAGCAATCAAAAAGATTGATGTCTCTTGATTTATCCTCTTTCATGATAAGCCAATATTTTCTTTCAAAAGTGAAATATATTTATAGATAACATCATTTTAAGTAGATTTAAAAATTAGGAAATAGTACAGATCTATCTTTGAATACCATCCTTTCTGGGCCCATAACAACTGTTACTGGTAGATTGAGGGTTCCAGTTGTCAGAGGTTTAAGAAATTATGGCTCTCTCCAAATAACTTCACCATCTCTCCCCTTCCCTCAGCCCCTATGTCCACCCTTTATGAGCTGGACATAATTGCTGTGGAGATTAACCAGTAGTTAAAAATAATTATTACTCCCACTCATTCAGACTTTATCCTAAATATTATTAAAAACTTCTGAAATATTACTGTGGCTAATGTGGAATAATTTTGTCAAAGATTCCTTTTACCCTTAAAAAATTGCTGAAATTATCCAAAACAACACTGTATCCAAAGTAGCACTACCTTCTGAGATCTTTAGAAAGGAAGGAAATATAACATTTATTTGATATCTTACCACATTTGATCATTACTGGTATCTTACAGGTAAAATAAATCTTGCTATATTTGTGCATGAGGACAATGACGCTTGGAATAATTTTCCCAAATTTGCCAAGTTTGCATATGGTGGAGCTGAAATCTGGAGTTCTCTGGCTTAAGCTCTTTCCACTACTTGATGAAATTAGGAAGACAATTTAAATAAAATTTAACAGAAAACCACTTAATAAGGAGTTAATTCTTCAGTGCTCTTGTCACTGGCTATATAATTGGTGATAGGAGATTCAATTTATTTCTGGTAAGGGTTAAGTGAGAAATAAATAAAATATTGATGTCAGTATTATTATTTCCATAGCTAACATTACAGAAGTTAAAGGAAGGAACATGAGCTGGTAGTCAATATGCCAGGGTCAACACTGTAGGTCTGCTACTCACTGGCTCTAAGGAGACTTCATCTTCTATAAAACCAGTCCACAGGATGGTCAGGAGGATTAACTAAAACAATGTACCAGGGAATCACTAACATACTTGAGCTCAATAAATCATTGCTGACTTTGGAACAATAGTATTAAGCAACATAAGTCTTTTTTTTTTTTTTTTTGTAATCTTTATTTTGCTGAAGACTTCTACCACTTTTCTATAGACACTATGTATTTCACAAAATCCAAATACTAGATTATAGAACACACTGTAAATCCAGATTAGAAGGGAGCTTTCCTTAAATAAGAATCCTAAGAATTCCTCACAACTTGCTTTATTCAAAGGGTATTGGCATATATTTTATTAGGCCACACCAGTTATTACCTCTGTAAACTGCCACTAGAATGGCCTTGATATATTTAGAAAGGCAAAACCCTGAAGTCAGAAATTACTGATAAATAAAGCAAGAATTTATTTGCATTTCAAGTTAAAACATGCAGAAATATTATCTCTAATGTGGGTTTATTTGTTTAAAGCTGGGGTGTTCAAGTATGGAAACCATGCTGAGTTTTAATGGGAACATCCTTTCATATTCATCATCTTAGAGATGTCATCTTTAGAAGATATCACTAAAACGACTGGCAAAATAAATTTATGAAGGAATATTGATTCAGTCTAGTCTCATATTGTCTTTCCTTCAGAGAGTGTTCGCTGAGGCATCAGATGGGCAAATATATCTCTGTCAACATCTGCTCTCATTTTCCAAATTGACAGCATTCGAAAGCAGAAATTGGGATTAAATGTTATTCTTAAATCTTGGAGCAAGCAATGAAAGCACACTCCGTCTGCTACAGAAAAGCCTTCCTGAAAACATCTCAAAACATTGTTAGCTGGAGCCAAACAGGTCCTACAAAGGACTGTAGGTTTGTTTTCTAATTTTCCAAATTTGCAAATATTTGCCAAGTTTATCAAATGTTGAAGCAAATGGATGTTTTTTTCTATAAATGGACTGCTTCAGGCAGAGCCAGGCAGGGGAGAGTCACTAATGAGTGTCATGGGATAAGGAATTTATTATAGAAATTAGATGTTACACAATAGTGGAAGGAGCCATGAAAGGGAAGCTTAGAAATAATAGTTGGACCATCAGAGAAGCAATCTAAGAAATCAAGCACTTCCAGTTACTGGGTGTGTCTGTCAAGGAAAACTCCTGTGGAGTCTATAGGAAACCATTGCTTCTGATGTGTTCTTACCTTTGTGGCTCCACAGTGAAGCACTTGGTGGTATGGAAACTATGCTGAGTTTTAATGGCAACATCCTTTTGTATTCATCATCTTAGAGATGTCATCTTTACAAGACACTGCTAAAAGGATTGGCGAAATAAATTTATGAAAAATATTGATTCAGTCTAGTCTCACATTGTCTTTCCTTCAGAGAGAGTTTGCTGAGGCATCAGATGGGCAAATATATCCTGACCACTGCTGGATAACAAGAGGATGCTGCATGCATAGTGGAGAATAGTTAGGAGAATCTAGAACCCACCAGGTATCGCTGAACCTGTCCTTTACAACGTTTGGTTGTGATGACCCTTAGAGACTAATGACTACTCCACTAATAACTGCTCCACTTTCACCTCCCAAATCTCCCACATGCTCCTCTTTTGGCCAACTTGTTCTGACACAAATATGAGGAAGGGGATTTGGGGAAACATAATTCCAGCTTAACCAGATGCACTGTGCAGACCACCACACGTTCCATAATAGATGCTATTGATGCCTGTTCCATTGATGGCTTTGGTGAGGGTCTGTCAGTTTCCTTTCAAAGCTATTTAACTTTATCCTATTGTCAGAATAATGCAATAGAGACATATTCATAATCATTGCTTTTCTTGCTATGTAGGTGTTTTCTCTCCTTCATTAAATCTCTTGAGGTGGCCCTGTTTTTTACCCTCATTGTAAAGCCAAAGTCCTTAGAATGATCTAAGATGTCTTGAAGATCAGACCCTTCATTTTGTCTCTGATCTTTTCTGCCTGCCTTCCTTCTCTCCCTCCCCCAGCTCCAGCAACACTGGCTCCCTCGTTTTTCCTTGGAAATGTCAGACATGCTCTGCCTTAGTGCCTGTGCGCTTGCTGTTCTTGGAATGCCTTCCTACCAAATAGGCACATGATTCATTCCATCACCCCTTTCTGGTCTTTCTTCAAATGTCAACTTCTGGGAAAAGCCTTCCATGACTATTTAATTTAAAACTGTGCCCCTGACTCCCTTTTCACCCTTCCTGATTTATTTTTTCTCCATTGTCCACCTTGTTATCCACTTATTATGTGTGCCATATATACATATGTTGTGTGCTACCTTTTCTTCCATGCCAGAAGGTAAGCCCAGTAAGGGCAGGAAGTTTCTATGTTTTGTTGATTGCTATGCGTGGCACATTATGGGTAGGCAAGCCAATGGTAATTCCACAAGTATTTGTTGAATATATTCAATGAATTGGTGTCACAAATTGTTTGGGTCTATCCATAAGGACTGTGCATGGACTTTGCGTCATAAGTTCAAGGACTAATTTTAAATGTCATTTTTCAAAATTAATAATACTGGGAAAACCTAAATTCCAGTCAGTTTTTCATTCTTATTTTCATCTCACTGATGATGAGACCAGCAATGTGAGGAATATTTGCTGAATTTATCTAGTTATATAATTTCTATCTTTCAGGGTATTGAAACAGCCAGTCACTAAAAGGAAATTTTCACAACCATACTAAGAAATTTGTTCTTCTTGTGAAGCTTGGCATAGGTTACTTTTCTTACCGATCCTCCTGAAATCTAAAGACATGAGCTTAGACACTTAGGAGAAGGAAAATACAAAACCTATATCTAGATTTCTTACATTTCACTGTGTAGACACTAATCTTTATGGACCCCATGCTCAGAAAGTACTTTAAAAAATACAAATTATGAAATCCTAAAACACCTTTACTTATTTATTATACCACTGCTCTCTTCCCTTATACTCCTATCTTCATTTTTCTCCCACTTTCAGTCTAATTTTTGTCTTCTTAATTTTCTTCCAGCAAGTTTAATTGTTCTTATTTTCCTAGGACACTAGAATATGCATAAATAATATTGAGAGCTAATAAACATAGGGATTTAATTAGTAAACATAGGTATTTAATAAGCATGTGAATTAATGTTAAGAAACAACCAAAATTCCATCTCTGGCCTTATTTACTGCAGCCTGACATAGCAAAATTTTTGTATTTCTCTTAGCTTCATCTATTAATCTAAATAATGATAATTGTTAACAATAAATTCTATCAAATAAGGCATTTCTGAAGATTAACTGATCTAATACACACAAAATATTTAGCACAATGAAGACCTAATTCATATTAAATCTATGTTATTATATTATCAATATCATTATTTATAAAGGTGAATATATACCTTATATATAATACCTCATCTCTCTAGTTCTCAGTTTCCTCAAGAGACATTTAAACTGTGTATCTTTAATCTCTATTTTAGCTATAAAATTCTGAGTCTATAATGTATAGATTGTGTGTGTAAATGGCCATGTTTGGAAATATGAATATATGATATAATCTCCATTGAATTATCTCTTAAATTAATTAAACAATGACAGTAATTGAATATAGGACATCATCTTACCAGTTTATTGCAGTCATTATACAACTCTTCCAACCTTAAAAGGAAACAAATCATATTAATTCTAAGCAGTGAACTTTTCAAATTGAGTATTTATAAGATTTTTCATTTAATAACTAATTAAAATCATATCTACTGTAAGAAATCCCATACTTACAAATACATTCTATCCCAAATGTTGCAAGGTAATTGTATGGAACTCTAAAACCTTTTACACATAGATAACTTTACATAAGGTTGGAAATGGGGTCCACGTGTCTCCATGCTTGATAAAAACAATTAGTTTAATTAAGAAAACATAAGAGGGTAAATAAAAGTAATTTTGCAGAGTCTGAAAATTGTGTTTGGATATTGTCACAAAATTTAGGGAGCTGGTTTGTTATTTTTATTTCACCTCCAAATGTTAATGTTTTCTGTCCCTACCATTAGGACTAAATGAGTCTAGTTTTAGATGATGATTTTGCAACTATCCTAGCATTGACACAATCTTATTCAGTGCATCTCTTTTTTTTATGATAGCAAAATATTAGGAAATAGAAAGCCTAAAAATTCTTCAATACAGAACTTGTTGTATAAATGATGGCATACCCCTACAGTGAAATACAATGCCGTACTTAAAATGAACGAGGCAGCTATTTGTGTACTTATCTGAAAACATTACCAAGATATATTATCAAGAAAATGAAACAAGACGCAGAAAGATATGAATAATAAGCTATAATTTTTTTGAAGGAAAATAATATTTCTATCATGGGCCTGTGGATTTCTACTAACTATTGTTAGCTCTAAGTAAGGGAATTACTTTTTTGGAAACAAGGAAGGGAGACAGAAAGAATTAATTTTGCTGTTTCATAGCAAATGAATTCGTAAGAAAATCATTTAAGTTTTCCACCTCGTTGGATACAGTTGTACCATTAGCACTCTTTATATACCAATCAATTGTGCATCAGAAGGTTTTATTTAAACTCATAATTGCAACAGAGTGAAGGAGAAAAATGGACATGTACCTTGAGAAAATCAAGGCAGTCGAGAAGGGAGGATGAAGAGGAGTTACAAGAATATCTGAGTACTTGTGAGAAAAGGATTATTGAAAGCAAGAGTAAGGAAAACAATGACATGAATTGAGCAAAATTTCTCTGAGAATGAAGGGCCCCTGAGGGAGCATGGTTGGCTCAGGCAGTGTCTGCCACCAGGTGGCATTAAGAACGCAAGACAGTACAGATGCTATTAGAAGTGGGTTAGTGGAGGGTGGGTAAAAATGAAATGGCTTTTGGATTAAGAAGTGGAAAGCAGTGTGTGAGCAATTATTCAGAAGATATTATATCAAGAAGTACACATTGCAACTCAGTCTTACATCGATAGTGTTGGGGAAAAAATTACCATATTGCGTGTGTTTATATGACTTTTTTAAGGCTTGTTTAAATGCTGTTGTTTTCCTTAATGTTGAAATCCACTTTATGACTTTTGAAAAAAATATTTTCCTCCTTAAGTTTTGTCAGAAAAATAAAACCAAATAAGTTGCATATTTAAAGAGTAGATATAAGTAATGAAGATGACAACAGAGTTTCACCAAATTTGTTATGAATGATTTACAAAGTCAAACCTCCCAGAAAGAGAAAAATATTCAGGTTCTCTTCACTAAGATATGCAGGCTCAATGAGTCAAAACTAAACCAAACAGTAAATGCACATAGCCCCATGGATAAATTTACTAGAGTAGACATGGGTCAGTTCTATCTCAGAATATCATGTTAGGCTGTGATGTCTGACAGTGCATAGACTAATTGGAAATGTGAATATCTAAAATGTAAGTTTTACAATGAGGTATCTGTGAATTGTGCCCATTTACTCTCTATGAACTCTGTTTACATGATTTAATAATTTTGAAAGAAAGATTTTAAATCATGTTATAAAATATATCTTTTAATATCAATTGCATGTTGGGAAAAATCTTGTGAGATTATTTATTCAAGAATATTTTCTACCCTGTGCCAGCTTCTGTGCATGAACTGATAATAAGAAGATGAAAAAATATACACAGCCCTGCCCCTCATAATGCAGAATGATGACTGCTAAAGCCAAGGTGCTACTTGTTGATTGTGTTACTTGACAATTTAATTAGCTTTTTAAATTCTCCATTTATTCAAAAAATATTTCTGGAGAATCTCCCATGTGTCTACCACAGTTTAAGATCTTGGTCAAACAGGAATGAATCAAGCAGGTAAAAATCCTTGACCTTAAGAAACTTAAATTATCAGTTTCTTTATCAGATAAATAACATAATACCAATTTTGTTGCAATAAAGATTGAATGAACAATTGCACATACAGAGTGCTGACATCAGTTCTGGAAAACTAATTGGACCCCAATAAATATGGCTCTTTAGATTAGTTTTTCTTCAAGGGCTCCCGTTTGTGGGAAGGAGGGAATCTGTCTTTCCCCTCTTTGTATTCCAAATAGGAACTCAATCAGAGTTTATTGAACTATTATTTGGAGAAGTGGTAAGAAATAAAACTGGAAAGTTAGACGAGGGGCAGACTTGTCCGACAAGCTAAGGGGTCTGAATTCTATTCTGTAAGCATTGATGAACCACTGCAGGGTTTTAATCCAAGATGTGAGGAATTCTGATTTATAATTTAGAAAAACAACTATGGCAACAGTTACAGTTGAGGAGGAAAACAAGGGAGTCAAAGAAGAAGTTAGGCCGTTAAGGTGGTGGGGAAAGATCAACTCGTGAATGGAACAGTTTATGTACTTGAAGTTCTGGGAGTAGATGCCTTTGCTTGGGAGATCTTGTATGGTGAGAAGAGATGTGAGCTAATGGTAGAATCCTAGAGAATATTAAGATGTTGATACAATTCAATTATGTAAATATTTATTGAGCTCCTTCTGTGTGCCACATACTGTTCTAAGTTCTAGAGAAATAATGGTGAATGCTTGGTTAAAGTTCACAGTCTTGTGGAGGGAGATAAAGATAGAAACATACAAAAACCGGAAGAAAATATCAGTTAGTTACAAGTCTTATGCAGAGAGTTAAAGTAGATTGATGTGAGAAAGAGTAATTGTAGGGTAAACTTTGATTAGGTGATTAGAGAAACCTCTCTAGGAGGTGATGGTTGAGATCTACATGAAAAGAAGGAGTCAGGCTTTAGAAAATCAAGAAAATTGCCTTGGGCAGAAGGATAGAAAGAGATAATCAAAGACAAGAGATTTGGCCAAAATGACTGAGAAAGAGCAGTCAGAGTGATCGAAGGTAAAAGAGAAAGATTGCAGTCCAAGATGAGAAAGGAAGGAGTTCAAAGAAAGAGTGCTTGACATTGTCAAATCAGAAAAATCACGGGGGAAAATAAAGCCCATAATCAATTAGATTTGTTAATTGATGGCTATTTACTAAGAAGAAAGGGGGAGCTAACATTTATTATCACCTGCAAATATTTGTTGCTGTGTTCTTTTACATTTTATACAATTGTTCATTTCAATATTCACAGTAGCAGTAATATTGCCATACTCATTTTACAGAGGAAGAGACCTAGAATCAGAGATGCTAAATATATTGGCCAAGGGCAGTTGGTATATGAACCCAGTTCTAACTGCAAAACTCTGTGACTACAACATGAATGGTGGCAAAACAAGTAAGATTGTGGAGTGTGGTTGGTAGGAATGAAGATAAGGACAGAGAGAAAACAAATATTTTGTGTATACAATTCTTTCAAGAAATCTGACTGTGAAAGGAAAGCTATGGCATAAGGGCAGCAAGCTATTTGATTTACTGGATTAAATTCATTTTCTTTTTTTTCCCTTTTTTTTTATTTTAGCATTTTATGGAGGTACAAATGTTAGGTTATGTATATTGCCCTTGCCCCTCCATCCCACCTCGAGTCAGAGCTTCAAGCGTGTCCATCCCCTAGATGATGCATATCACACTCATTATGTATGTATACACCCATCACCCCTCCCCCCCATCTGCCCAACATCCCATAAATGTTATTCCTATATGTCCAAGCTATTGAGGTCCTTAAAGAACAAGTGAAAGCTTTATTTTTAGTTTATTCTATACTAGGGGTTGACAAACTGTAGCCTGCAGGCCAGATCCAGCCCACTGCTTATTTTTCTAAGTAAAGTTTTATTGGAACACAACCATAGTTATTAATTGACATGTTGTCTATGCTGTTTTGTACTACATTGATGGAATTGAGTAGTTCCAACAGAGAGCGTAGGGCCCACACAACCTAAGATATTTCCTATCTGGCCCTTTACAGAGAAAATTTGCCCACGCCTGCCTGTCTTACAGGAAAAAAATAGAGTTGCTGAATGTTGTTAGTTAGCAAAACGAAATGGATTATGTAGGCCATATAAAATGGCATGTGTATAAACAAGATTAATGTGGTTGTGCATGCAGGATGAATTTATAGCAAAGTATGCTACTATTCCAGGAAAGAAGCAATGGGAATCTTGCCAAGGTCAGAATAGCCAGGAAAGTCTAGATGTGGAATTAGGGACTGAAGGGATATGGCAACATCAAAGGCTGGTCCAGAGAGCCTGGGTGAACAAGTGCAGAAATAGGGAAGTCAGGACAGGAAGGTGGTTTAGGAGAAGATGGAGAATTTTATTTTAGAAATGTGTAATGCATTAAATGTGACATAGTGGAAAGAATGGACTTCAGATCCAAGAGACCCGGTTTGAGTTCCCACTCCCCCATTTGTACACGAGTGCTGTTGGGAAAATGGAAATGTTTTCCAGCCTCTGTTTTCTTATCTGTAAAATAGGATAACGATATTTGCCCTTGAAAGTTTTGATAAGGTCAAAATCAGATGCCATGTATTTAGCATTGTGCTTGGGACATATTAATTGTAATAATTATAAGCTATCGTTATTGTTCATTAAGTTGTTATATTTCAAAATGCTATAGAAATTAGGCCATCATTACAAGCATTACATTACAAGTATATTCAATTCCATTTGCATCAAAAGTGAACCTTTAACTTGACTTTGTCCTATTTCTTATTATTCAATAACCTTTTTTTATACTTCCTTAATA